CTGTCTTTCACTATCTCCTGGAGTTTGCTCAGACTCATGTCCATTGAGTTGATGATGCCATCCAACCATCTTGTCCTCTGTCGTCTCCTTCTCCTCCTGCCCTCAGTCTTTCTCAGGATCAGGGTCTTTAGGGGAAGAAAAATTTCCCCTTCTTCCCTTCTAGGTTCTTTGACTGGTCTGATAATTAAATTGACACAGGACAGATTAGCAGGGGAAAAAAAATGAACTGAATTTCATACATTTTGCAGTCCATAAAAATAGAAGACTCCAAAAAGTGACCAAAGCAGGCAACTTTTATACCTTTTAAACAAAGAAACAATCCATTTGTGATAAATTGACTGAACAAAGGGGTTTGTACTTGGGGTAGCACATTATTGAAGAAGTGACAAGATATACAGCCTTTTGTGCCTTGAATTCCCTACTCTGATGATAAAGATGCCTGCTACTGTCCTGGTGCAGAGAGTAACTTCACATGAGATTTATTTCTTACTTTCAGGGGACAAAGGAGGATCAGAATGTCCTTTGTGTGCTGGCTGTTTTTTAAGTAACTTTAATTCAAAATAATTCATATGCCAAAATGGTACATTCTGGGGGTGACATACTCTGCTCTCTTTCATCATTATTACCCACTGGGGAGTTTGTCTCCCTGTCCTCATAGCTCTGGACTCTGCAGAGTTGGATGCTCTCCTCTCCAAATGAGGCAAGTTCTTGCCAAGAAACACAGCTAGGAACCACTGAATTACAATGTAACTACAAGTTACAGCTGCTGCAGGGGGCAGGCAGGATTCCTTTTGCCAAGGAACCAGCAGGTTGGAAGAGGAGTTGCTATCTGAGGAAGGATAATTGACTGATGAGTAGAAGGAGATGGTGCTGCTTTAAACAAGGGGGCAGGGAGGGAGGAATTGTGTGAGGAACCTGCGTGATCCACTCCAGCCGCCTCTAGGTACTCCCTCGCCCCACAGTATCTGCTCTCAGACGTCTGTAGCAACCACAATCTGAGAAAGCAATGCTGCTGGTTTGATCTCAGGGCCACAACTGGAACGCATCCTGTTCCTCCTTCATCATCCATTCTAAATTACCGCTCACCCCCTCTCTCACTTGGCAGGAATCAGTGGCTTACCTGGTGGTATGATTCAAACCTTCATTCCCAAGTGGTCTGATCTCTTGGTAGTTATACCTTTATGGGGTGATGGCTCTGATGAGCTGATGTGATTATTTCCCTTTTCTTGGCAGGTTTGTATCATAGAGTCCATCATAAGATGATGCTATTCATTAATGTTACTCATTTTCTTTCTATCCGATTTTATACTTGTCAAGAAACATTGTTACTAAATTTTAGAAGTAGATTTTCTGCTGGTGAGGTGGTGCACGCCTGTAGTCTCAGCTACTCCGGAGGCTGAGGCTGGAGGATCACTTGAGCCTAGGAGTTATCGGCTATAGTGAGCAACGCGGAGCGGGTGTCTGCACTAAGTTGGGCATCAATATGGTGAGCTCCAGGGAGTGGGGGTCCTCCAGGCTGCCTAGGCAGGGTGAACCTGCCCAGGTCAGAAAAAGAGCAGGTCAAAACTCCTGTGCTGATCAGTAGCAGGATCACACCTGTGAATAGCCACTGCTCTCCAGCCTGGGCAACATAGAGAACCCGTCTCAAAAAAGAAAAAAAAAAAAAAAGGAATAAAGAAGTAGATTTTCCTACTGAGAATTGCCAACCAGTTGATACAGGTAATCTAACCTATCTAGCATTTATTTCCTTCCTTTAAATAATCATTTTTAAAATTATAAAAATAATTTGATTATCGCAAAAATAATTTTAAAAGTATAAAAGCAAAATGTGAAGTCCACTTCTTGTGCAGTTTCCTTTCAATCCTACTCCATCAAAGCAACACTATTTTCTGTTGGAAATTGTTTTCTCCATTGGATACTGATGCTCAAGGTATGATTTTAATGATCTTGTTTGAAAGGAATCTCTTGTGTGTTTTCCCAGAATGAACTAACAAGACTGAATTTTTATTAAACACACAAAACTGAAGGCCAACTCTTTCATGCAGAGTCATTTTTAATTTCCACAAGCCAATCTTTCATTAAATCTTTTATGATGGCAAACACTATGCTTTGCTAAAAGTGTAAACTTCAGTTACCACTTAGAATATGAGAGATTGTTTAGGGAGAGTATGTGTAGTGCTGTGCTTACTGCATTTTAAATTTTATTTACTCTTATGATTTTTTTTTCTAATTACTTGGATTAAAAAAATTTTTTTTAAACTTTCTATTTTGTATTGGGGTTTAGCCAATTAACAATGTTATGATAGTTTCAGGTGAACAGAGAAAGGACTCAGTCATACATATACATCTATCCCTTCTCCCGACTCACTTGTTTTTGTGTTAATATTTTCCCTTATTTTCTAGAAGTCTTCCCCAAGAATAAAGTAGGGGGTAAGAAAAGTAACTGTAGTTTCAGTGTGAACTTAGTATGCACTTACTTCAGTAGTTTTAAAAAGAATGTGTGAAGACAAGTTTGAAATAATTTAGGTTATAGATTGACTTTAAAAAAAAAGGTCAGAGAATTCCGTGGAAGTCCAGTTGTTAGGACTCCATATTCCAGTGCAGGTAGGCATGGGTTTGTTTGATCCCTTGTCAGGGAACTAGGATCCCACACACACACACACAAAACTAAAAAACTAAGAAGACAGTCAATATTATTATCATTGGCCATTTTCAAACTCAAAGAAATTCTTCATGAGAAAAACCAGTTCCCTAAGATGAGTGAGGTTAGGCTGTTAGTGTACACAAAATTTAGCTTTAAAGATGTTCTTCAGTGAAAAACATTTGGATCTTTATTTAAGTTTTCATTCAAGAATTTACAAATGCCACTTGAGCATAAGATCTCCAAGGGATATTATTGTTTAGGGAACAAAAAATGCAACTTAACAAAATAAGGTTGATAAAACTATAGAGGCGAATATAATTTTGTATCTTTTAAAAAACTTCAATGATGTTTTCATTCAATGAGGGAGGGACTACTTTATTTTCATAAACAACTAAACTTACAAAGTATAGTCATTTTATTATTTTTTAGTTATAAAAGGCAGGTGAGATTTTAAAAGTAATTTCATACTAAAAATGTTGATAAAAAATTTATGAGAATAATTTTTTAGGTGGGACAAACTATGGTCAACTGTAATTTTAAATATGGTTGACCACGGGAATAAAAATTAGAGATTTTTCCACATAGATTAAAAAGTAGATTGTTTTTTCCAAAATCAACTTATTCTCTTATCCTTTCATAAAATTAGAATTTTCTTTCTATTAACAGGCAAAATATTATCAGAAATAAAAATTTTATAGATCTTTCTCTTTTTCATCATGAAAGAAAACCTGGAACTATTTTGTAGTACATTTATTAGTTGCCAGTTTTCAAGAGATGAAATCCTGTAAAGGTAGTTATAAAAATATACAGTAGAAATGTCTTTGGGGAGAGCCTGTGATTTAGTACGTATCACATTTGTTCAAGATAGTCATGGAGATGGGCCTTCCCTGATGTCTCAATAGTAAAGAACCCGCCTGCCAATGCAAGAGGCATGGGCTCGATCCCTGGGTTGGGAAGATCTTCTGAAGGAGGGCATGGCAACCCACTCCAGTATCCTTGCCTGGAGAATCCCATGGACAGAGGAGCCTAGCAGGCTACAGTCCATGGGGTTGCACGGAGTTGGACACAACTTATCGACTAACCAACAACAGCCAAGTCATGGACATGCAAACCCAGTGTTCACATGGGCTCTGGTCTCTAAACTTCATTTTCTGACATTAGAAGTTAGACATGATTTAATAACTATTTGAAGCAAAATAACTAGCTTACACTTTTTATGTAATAAAGAGCCATAGTAGTATGGGAATGTCATTTCAGTTATGGACCCATTGGATTAGGTTAATAGGTTTGATCATCTTCTATTTGAGATCAATGATTGTTGCTTGAGGAGCTTTATAGATTTAGCTGGATCTTTTTATTTATTTAAAATTAATTTACTTATTTAATTGGAGGCTAATTACTTTACAATATTGTAGTGGTTTCTGCCATACATTGACATGAATCAGCCATGGGTGTACATGTGTTCCCCATCCTGAACCCCCCTCTCACCTCCCTCCCTTGGTACATATACACAATGGAATATTACTCAGCTGTTAAAAAGAATGCATTTGAATCAGTTCTAATGAGGTGGATGAAACTGGAACCTATCACACAGAGTGAAGTAAGTCAGAAAGAAAAACACCAATACAGTATATTAACACACACACATATATATAGATAGATAGATATTTTCTTTTTAAATTTAAGATTATCCTTGAGTTAGGAAAAATACCAAGGCAAGCATACGGATTCACACTTTGCCATAATATTGAATTTATCTCTAGTTGAAGAGAGACAGCCCTCTGCCGTCATGAAGAAAGGGAAGCAACTTCTTTTGTCCTAATGCTGTGATTCTTAGTGCAAATATTAAAGTTAAAAATCAAGTGAACCCCCTGCATGGAGTTATTTATTATGCCATTCTGGCATGTGATATTGGCTTTGTTCTGGAAAGTTCCAATTTGATTTTTTTTTGTGGTCCCATTTCATACTCATGGGGAGGAATTTTAAATATCATTTAGGAATGGTCTTTACAATGTCTTTGCATCATACTAAAGATTTTGAAGGCCTACTTGCTTCCATGTAAATGTTATCTCATGGACTAGGTGATAAAATTTTATTAATAAAATATTAAAATGGACACTCAGAACATTTGTGTTCTTCTCAACTTATTTCCAGATTTGATGAGTCTAAGTTTTATAGCGCTGATCTAAACTTGATTTTAGAAGTCAGGCCAACTGGATTTAAATTCCTGAAGATACCATAGATTTGGGGACACAAATAACATAATACACACTTCTAGTAGGATCTACTTTGGGTTGATATGAGGGCTCAGGAGAACTAATCTGCTTTTTGAAAAATAACTGAGAATCCAAACTAATCACACATATAAACCAGTTTATTAGATTGTCAGTGATACTTTGAGACAAATTCAAGTTATTTTTATTGTACTTTATATAAACAGAGGAAGGGAGGAAAGTTTTAAACTTCAAGCTTTGTTCAGCATGTGTGCAGTTAGCATCCACAGAAGCACCATCGGATATGGAAGAATTAGCACCACAGAATTTTCGGACCTAACTGTTAACATGCATCACTGAAAAATGTGGAACATGAAAACTGAAGTGGTACATGGTATGGTCTCTTAGAAACAATACAAGGCAATTTATGACTCATTTTCATACAGTACAATACAATCACCAATCAATGAGAACCTTTTAAGTACAATAAAGGACAAAAAACACTTTGTACCCTGTTAACACTAAAGCAGTTACAGATTTAAAAACATGTTTTCTTGGAAGAGGCGGTGGGTTGAAATGATCCCTCCTCCTCAATTTTTAAATTCAGAGTTATATAGTTACATGATCTCTTAAGAAAGTATTTTCAAATCTATATCTCTCTACTAATGCCGACAAATTTTTTTTTTAAACAGAAAGGTTTGATGAATGAAAACAAAACAAAATAAATAACAACAAAAAAAATAGAGTCTAGAAGTACTCCAGTGTGGTGAAAGATATTCCACATCAGATCGGTTTGAAAAGGATGCCAATGGTGCTGACACTTGTCTTTCCTTCCGTGGAGGAATGTCAAGTACAGAAGCCTCGCATTCACGATGAACTTCGGTTCATTTCTTTCACCGAATGCCTTTATTCTGAAGTGTAACATGAGAGATTTATTCTTTATTCCTCTACTGTTTTTGTAGTGTCATGGGGCTGTTCCTTTTGCTGGATTTGACAACAGTGAAAAGGGTTGATATTCCCTCTGGATTTAGGGTAATTTGTGAGCTAAAGAAAAAATATTAATTTAAATTTAGCACAGATGAAATTTTAAAGGGACTTTCACTATTTTCACAGTACAAACCCATAATGAATATCATTGAAAACCTTTCTGTTAGAAAACATGTAACAAACCCTCAATTTTAAGTCTAGGCCAATTTTGGCATATTTGAAGATACTGTATAAGAAATGTGCAATAAGAATAGATACAGGTATATTCAGATCTCAATGCGTTGATGCCAAGGAAAAAATATTTTTACTCACCAAGAGAAGAATATACCTTGAAGCATCTATGCAGACACATGAATCAATCATATATCTGCCCAACTTCTAATTCTGGAATAGTGATAACAGGGTCATTTAGGAAAAAGTACTCAATTACAGTACGGCAGCAATTTTATGTTGTATATATTTAACAGCAAAAACATCTTTGAAAATAGAATCAGTACTATACGGTAAGTTTACAATTCACCATTTCTATACTTGTAATACATGCGTTTATTTGTTTTCCCAGTTTTTAAAAATCCCACTAGGACCAACATCTTTCTGAACAACAATCTAACATGTAACAAAAACCTTCTAAGGAAAGTATTTAGCATCACAGAGACTTGAGAAAAATCTGTTACTTAGCATCACAAAATACTCGATAGATCTACATTTAAGATTGTTCATGCCATGACATTAACACACCTTTGGGTTAATATATCTTATCTAGAAAAAAAAAAAACAAAACGAATAAACAAAGAATTGACATGGAATTTATCTTTAGTCTCTTCTTGGTAAGAGTAGACTTCTAATAAACTTGACTCCTTTCTGTACCATGTAATGATGATTGCATCTATGAAGCAGCATTTACATGTAGTAAAACGTTTAAGACTAGTGACGTGACAGGAAAATGACCACTACAGAGAAAGAATTAAAAATAAGTAAAATTATGGAAAAAATTTTTTTTTCTTAAGTGAACTGCCTTCAAATAAAACAAACAAAAAAATCACTAAGTCTGTTTGCTTTGAAATATTCTTGTGTTGAAAAATATATTTGGATACAAGTTAGCCTATCCTTATAAATATCAGAGAGATGTAAGGTGTACCTTGAGAAAAAAACTTAGCTTTTGAAAAAAAATCCTGTTGTGTTTTTTTCTGTTGAATCAAATCTATTGTTTAAATCAAGTATTAATTTTCTGAAGAGGAAGCAAGTATACATGGCAGCACATCCACATTACCAATTTAAATCTGGTAATTTGCCAGGCATGGTTGATTTCAGCATAGAAGCAACACTGATTTCTTAATGTGTTAGGGTTACATTAAAAAGAAAAAACACCTCAACTAAAAATTGAGTAATGACAGGCTGGGTTAATAGTTTTGATTGCCCTTATCTTTGATCAACATTTCAAAACAAGTTAGTACCAATTAAAAATAAGATTAAAAAAATAAAAGCTGTCTAAAAATTGCTCAATGAAAAAGCTTTCAAATTTTACAACATTTTAACCTCAGATGATTGTAGACTAACTCGGACGAACAGTTTTGCCATTATCACAAACACTTTTTGTTACACTTGAGTTTCTTCCTGTAGTGTTCATTGGTTGTATTATGTAATACAATTTTGTTTCATTAAAATAGTTTAAATTATCATATTTTATTATAAGAAGCTTTAGAAAAACACATAAGTAGGATAAATTTATAAAAGGATAAAGAATATTTTATGGGATTTTAGACAAGTTCTATACAGACATATAGCTAGTTCAAGGTAATAAAGTGCCTTTATTTCCAGGTAATTACTTTTTCATTAAAATATTTTAAGGCTTTATAAGAAACTTAACATTATCAGAAGTTTGATAGCATATGGGGTTATGCTATTAATTAGCATTCTTTCATAATTTTTATTTCATTTAATCTTGATCCATATTAGGTAATTTTTAATAATTAGCAGCTTAAAATGATAACATTTGAATTGCAAATTCTGAATTCATTTTGTGAGGAAAAAGAAAGATGTATAATTTCTAAATGCTGTGATTTGAACATAAGATTCATATGTTTCTTGTGACTGATCCATTTATGTCATAATATATAACAGCAAATGCCCCCCCAAATTCAACAGAATACTCATTTCATGGCAAACAGGGCCATGACTTCATTCATTCATATATTCTGTTGTCTGTACATTTAAAATGATTGTGCAGCCTTAAATGAAAGAGGCCACAGGAAATCTAAGATAATATCTTCAAATACAGGCACAATTAATATTTTTTATTGCAATAGCTTATGCATAATCTATATTGATGCCAATATCTAATGTTAAAGCATTTATATTTGTTTTCATTTTGCTTCTAATACCCACAGATGTATCAGAATAAAATACCGGTAACCTAATTGAAGTATATACAATAGCCATAATCATACAGAATTCTATTTCTTCTTGTCATTTTTCTTTGGAGGATATGGGAGTATTTTAAACACAACTGTGTCCTTAGTTATCTTGGCAGCTCCACATTTTAAGATACATTATGTCTATATGGACATCAACTACTTGATTTTGCTATAATGAGGTAAAATGTTTAAAGATTCTTTTTAGGTGTTTAGTTATTTTTATCAGAAAATTGCTAAAGTCGGGCACCAGATTAAAGGGCCATGATATCTAAAATGCTTTCCTAATTACCACTGTATTAATTTAAAATGTTCTTTAAAGATTTTTGAGATTAGATGTAAGAGGAAAGGTAAAACGCATTGCAAAGAATGGTTTAAGTTAATGTTCCATACAATTAGAAAAACAGGAACTACCAGTAGGACCAAAGTGCTAGTTTTAAAATTGGGTTTGGTTTTGATTTTAAAGCCTAGTAAGAGTCATTCCTGGGAATTAAAAAAAAAATTACAATGGAATAAACTTTTATAATTGCACATTCCTTTACCAAAGTGCCACAAGTTACCAAAACATTTTAAAAATGTACATGATGCTACTTTTCAAAATCTAAGTATATATAAATTTACCTTTATTTTTAATAGTATAGTACAGACAAACAGCACAGATATAAGCAGGAAGATGAATTATAACTTTCTAAAAACAGTATAGTGTATTTTAAAAAAATAACTATTAAGAACTTTTGTCATTATGAAGATTCAAACCCAAGTATAGCCAAAGCATTTCCATAAAATCTGAAAACATCATGAGAGTTTATGTAGGCAAATTTTAGTCACACGCTGTCATGCAATGCACAGACATTAAGTGCCTTTCTTTTAACACTTTTTAAAACAAATTTGACTACATATTATACTTACTTTCTTCAAATGTTGAAGGGACAATATATGCAATAACCGAGCTTTGGAGACAGTACTAAACATAAGGTTTCTAGCCTTAAGTGTTCATTCCTATTAAGCACAGCAAAAAAGGTTTGATGCATGGGTTATTAATTTTCATGCTTCTATCTCTTTATTCTAAATAGAAATGTAGAGAGGTCATATAATAAGGACAAAAGGTCATTAGAGACCAAAGCACAAACATAAGGAACAAACGTGGTGGAACCTCTCCATATGATTAAATTTGGTGAACTGGGGGAAGACAATAAAATAAATGATTTCTTTACCATGTAATAGTTATATTAATATATATTTTAAAATAAATGCCCCCCACATAATATTAGAGTTTTAATAGTTTTGTAGTTTGAACGTGATGACATTAAACTAAGGAGGTGTCTCTTTATAAATTGTGACCAAAAAAATTGTATTGTTCAAAGGAGAGAACATGGGATTGTGATTGTCAGTGACAGCCCCTTGTCTTTTGTTATGCTGCAGGTTAAACACTGTGGTGGAGCGTCTCATTTAATTAGGGTGAAAATGCTGGGAAAAACATACAATAACTTATATTAAAATGAGGATTAGTTCATAGTGATGGAATATTAAATGACTAGCAAAAAAGGACCTTTTCCTTTTTCTACAGTTTGAGAATCTCCCTTGGATGTAAAAATGACTACATAAAAGCATATGAAAGAAGTGCCCAATTCAATAAGTTCTTTATCTTCTGAGGATATAGGATGGGATACAAACTGAGATTTGTATCCTCTGAGAAATCCTCTGAGAAAAGTAACAAACTTTAAAATCAAGTAAAATCAGAAAGGATCAATCATGATAAATCACTGTTAACAACTCTCTCCAACCCAACATACAATAGGTAAGTCAGAGAAACAACAAATATCCCTCCTATATAATTTAAAGAAACTTCTTGTAGGTTTTGAGTATGAGAATATAATCTCTTGTTGGTAAGTAATAGTCTTGAATAGTGGTAGCATTTAAAAATTACTAGAGAAATACTTCAAACAATGGAAAAGCATAATATTTCTAATAGAAACTGTAGATGTGTGGATATTCCACACTATGTATGATAATCCAACTATATATTACCTCATGTAATACCCAATATAAGATTCCACGATCTTTCTTGTTGACACACAGATTTTTTTTTCTTGATTTTGCAAAATCAGTTGTATTTAGCTAATTTAGCTTTTCCCTGGGAGCAGTGCTATTATAATGACATAAGTACTGAAAATACCTATGAGAACCATCCCTACCATATAATTTAATCTTGCTTTCTATTTCTACTGTATTTTCTACTTAGTATTTCAATATCATTCAGCTGTTGTATAGCACTTTTGATTTCCAAATGCCTTATGAATGATTAGAACAGTCATTGCATTCCTATGAGTAAAGGAAAGTTCATAAACTGCTTGAGCAGTGGTGGAACTACTCAGACCTTAGGTATCTTCTCCAAGCCAAGAGCAGTTGTCCAATTCTATGTATCTGCACCATACAATCCCTGGGGTCAAAGGCAAGAGCTTCTCTGCTCTACAGACCTAGCAGACTGTTTAGGTCATGCTGTATGCAAAATAAATATTTGTTGACTTAATGAAGGAGAAATGAGATTGAAAAAAAAAACAGAAGAAAGAACCTCGACCCCACGCTTAACTGAAATGGTGTGCTTGGCCCACTCTTGCTTCTCTGCTACCAGAGGGTCGGTAGTAT